GACTTCGTCAAATGGTCGAGGTGCTTCCGTTTCCCTTTGTTTTTGACGCGTGGGATCGTCCCTCCCCGCACTTCCTCAGAGTTCATGTACAACTTGCTCTCGAGACGCTAAATTGTCGAGTGCCATAAATTTTTATTAGTGCTAGGCATTTGCATTCTCACGAGCCAACGAGTGGGCGTCGTTCGAGTGGGCTTCAATCTAAGCCAAGACAAATGATTAAGAGGACCGGAGAGACATTTAAAGTTGGCGGCAAAACCATCCAAAAATATATAATTAAATAAACAGACGGCTGGACCGCTGAGGTCCTCTCACATGTCTAAGACTTTACGACCTCGTTTTAAGACGCTCGTAAAATTAGGGGTTTTACGAGGCCGTCATTATTTGACAGTAAACAAGGTTAAACAGCGCAACCCCGGACCAGGTGCCCTGAGACCCGCAAAATGGGCGTGACAATATTGACGCTGACCCGCTCTTGTCAGTTGTCAAAAAATTGTCGATGATGATGGCCATTAAACGCGGCCAGCGGGAAAAACAAGCAACGCCGGCCAAACCACAAAGGATCAAATCAAAGTGACTTTTATTGCTCTTTAATTGCCGACTTGTGTTCCGCCGACTCCACAAGCGTTATATGTACATAAAATTTAATTTTATGTTCCGAAACAATTTGAAATAGTCAACGCGACTCGAAGTGACCCGTTGGCTTTTAGTGTGAAAATCACTTAAGCGCGTTTACCGAATTTACGACTCTAACGATTCTTTGAACAGCGGATGAAAAGCGTTTCCGCACTTATGAGCTTATTAAGATGATTTCACGACATTATTACAAAGAGAATTAAACAACGAAATTAATATTAGTAATTCACATGTATGTATATAGAACTTCTATATATAGAAGTGTGCTTGGTGAGGAATACTTGTACTTTGGATAGTATCTTACTTCAGGAAAAATATAATGACAGTAATTGCTTTCAGCGTAGGAACAGTGTGAATTATAATTGAATTAGAATAATATTTATTTATTTATTTATTTAATGCTAACTAATAGTTATAAACTAAAAAGTTAACAAAGGTTAATGAGCAATGGCTACCGAGGCCTTCCGCTCTACAGTGTATTAACAAAGATATGTGTGTGGAATATGTTATAATTAAATTTTATGTATGAGATTCATTTTGTGTAGAAAGTATATAATTTTATTTGAGTTTGCTGCTGTTGGATTCGCAAGGAGATGGATTGGGTTATCATTGGAAAAGCAAATTGTTCTAACATGTGAAAGTGCAGTGCAGTCTATTAAAATGTGTTGGATGTCTATCGCTGAGGTGTTGCAAAAGGGACAGATACTTGTTAGGGATCTATTCATATAATGGGCGTTTGTGAGTTGTGTGTGTCCTAGTCGTAGTCTATTTATTATAATTTGTTGTTGTCGGTTGAGGTTTGTGGTTTTGAAAGAGAAGTTTGCTGGGGTGTTTAGTAAGATCTGTTTGTACCATTGGGTAGTTTGTGCTTGAAGACTGTTCAGTTTATCGGTATAGTGTTTTTTAAGGAGTTGTGTGATGTCTTTGGTGTTGAAGTTGTCTGTAAATATTAGAGGGTATTTGTGTGTTTCTTTAGCTGCTGTGTCTGCTCTCTCATTGCCTTGTATACCTATGTGGCTAGGGATCCAAATTAGTCTGATTTTGGGAAAGAGTTTGGTAATAAGTGATCTTATTGTATTAGGGTAGTAAGAGTAATTGCTTTCAGCGTAGGAACAGTGTGAATTATAATTGAATTAGAATAATATGTATTTATAGAATTCAAGTATAATGGAAGAGTCTGTTACAACTCGAACTATTGCTATTGGACTAATTTTCTAGTGTTTCTGAGAAGACAAGAATGTTTGTTGCCGCCTTAATTTAAGTTTAATTTCACTTTCTTTGATATAACTATCCGATCATTTCCTTTGTTAAATATCGGTAGACTTTATCGATGTACCGATATAAATGTATCGAGTGTCATGTACGAGATCTAGAAAAAAGATCGAGGGAAAAAGACAAAAGTTTTTAAGCAAATAATGAATAAATATGTTTAACGCTATCCGCCTGTGTTGTTATTGTGTCCCGCTCTAAAACCGAAACTTTTCCTTGTCAAAGTCTTTGCCAATTACAATGTTTCTTTTATAATCATTTGATAAATTAGATTATTAGATATGGGAGTACTTTATAATATTTCTGACACAGTCCTAAAATTATGAATTCTTATTTAAGTAGCAGCAAGCCAGTAGTCGTTACAAATAAGTCAAACTACATGATCCTGAAACGAGGTAGTTCCACAAGGCTCTGTCTAGGCCCTTTGTTATGTACCGAGGTACAGTCTATATGTGAACTTCATACGAATGAAAAAGATGATTTTCAAATGTATGTTATGTCAAATTAGTGATTGTGTTAATATTTCTTATGTAGCGGTAATGCATGTTAGAAATGGGCATATAAAAATTGTCTTAATGTAAATGTTTCACAGAGAATTTAGACAAGCTTATCGAGGAACTAAAAGTATAGACTTGTTGCCAAAGCAAAGGACCTGGGCAGTATCTTAAATAATACCCTAACATGTACTGTTGGGAAAACCTAAGAAATACCTAAAAAACTATCATTATGCCAGAAATGTCTCCCAATAAATATAAAACTAATGGGGTAGAAATTTTCGAAATATCCGAGGCATACTTTAGTGATCTTTACCCGACATGCACTTCAAAAATCATTATAAATCCATATGGATTGCCAATAAAATTAAATTCGACAATAGAAGAGCAAAGTCTTGAGTCAAATTTTTTAGCAAAGTGCAGTGTAAGCCCGCCTAATTATGTAAAGCAGGCGTCGTTTCAGTCAAGCTGCCAATAGATTTTTGGTAATCTATTCCCAGTCCCACTGGCGTATCCTGTGTACTCGCACGATTCCACATCATATGTTCCTTGGCGGAACGACGAGAGCTTGGCGTTGGGTTTAATCTGATGATTTATAGAAAATTTAGGTCGCCATATAGTCGCATTAATTACGCCTCATCATGAGTGATTTATGCGCGAGCTCAGCCTGCGCCCGCCTAGGAGTCTAACTCCAGCCTGCATTATTCCTTCGCCCGACTTCCACTTCCCCGCTCACATCACATCCTGCCGCCATGATAAGAAATGTTTTGCCAGCGCCAACGCACAGTGGTCGGGCCCATAGGCCAAAAATAAAAAAATTGATTTTGAGCTATCCAAGCGAAACCTGGTTTTTCTATCAGCTGATTGTCCAAAGTTTACCATGCAATACGGTCTGCTTGGAATTTCTAACGGGACTTTCTGAAAATAGATTGACAAAAGCGTTTTTGTATTCATGCACTTTTAATTTGTCAGCTGTGGAGTGCACAGACCAAATTTAAAAATTTTAAATATAATATAAAACGCTGTTAAACCAAAAACAATTGGACTGGATATGGTAGATAAAGGTATATACTTTATTTGTACAGAAAAATATATATATAATTTGTGTTGTGTTTCGTGTAAATCTTTGTTAAAAAAGTGCGTCTTTTTAGTTCGTATATGTTGAGTTTACGTAAAGTTTTAAGTATTTTCCCCCCGTTGCCCCCAAATGAAATTTATGTGCCGTCATTAACTAATATTTAAAGATTATAAAAATGTTTACTTTAGCTGCGGCTACCTGCGGCTGCAAATTTGCCATTACAAAACAAATTACCCTAATTTTTTAGCCAATAATCCGGGTTGTAATAGAAAATCGGGAAAAAATTTTAAAAATAAAAAAGTTACCTGAGTATCTCGGAGCACTTATCCTTTAGTGAATACAATACATTTTATTGATATCTGATGTTTTTGTGGACAGTTAGGATAGGATGTACACCGAAAATAAACTTTTTGTGGGGACTCAGGAGATTCGCTATTACTCGTAAGCATGTAAATATTTTTTAATACAAAAATTTTAAAAAAATTGCTCAAATGTTGTGTTATTATATGGTATTTAATTCATTAAGCTAATTTTAGCCGTTTCGCCACAACATTTTTTTGAAAAGTAGTGAGTTTTGCACCCAATTAACCTTACCCCCCTTAAGCTGTGTAAGTTTGTTGCTGGACAAAATAAACACACAATATATAAGTGAATAATTTTTTTTTTTACTTTTGGGCACTTATATTTCACCAACGTTCTCATTAAGAGATCAAAAACTAAAAAATTAAAGTTAGGTCTTGGAAAAAAATGGTTTTATAAAAATGTTGTATGGGAGCTATAAGATATAGAGATCCGATTTTAACCAAATTTGGTAAAAATGCATAAACCTGTACCAAACATATAATCTGTGAAATTGGTTAAGATATCTTGAAAAACAAAAAAGTTTTTCATATTAAGTATTAATTTTTAACAGATTGTTCCTATGGCAGCTATATGATAAAGTCGAGCAATATGGCCAATTTTTTGTGGATATACCTTAAACATTTTTCTAGATTTTTGGTGAAAGTTTCATAGCGATAGCACATCTAGAAGTAGTTATGGCCGCGGCTCCATACAAGCTCGACCACTGTGCAACGCCTGCGGCCAGAAAATCACATTAGCACAAATGCCCGTAATTATGCTTTTTATGATGGCAGTCACACCCCGCTCCCCAGATAAAGTATGTATGACATTTAAAGCAGGACCTCGCCATCCCACGAGGGCCTGTGTGTGCCTGTGTGTTTGCGCTGCTGACTCTTCATAAATGCGGTAGAAGTTTTTACGTCTTTTTAATTCCACTTTTATGTTTAAGCGGCGTCAATCACAGCCGTATTTATAGTTTCTTTATAATGTGTTTCCCTGACTGATTTATGGACCCCACCCTGCCCAGTATCGCAAAACATTCGAGGCGTGTGGTCCTGCATCTGACCTGTGATTTATGTTAGATTGACAACAGCAGCTGACAAATATAAAAAAGAGGAAGGCAATTCTTACAATCACTAAAGCCAGAAAGAATGTGGTTAAGCTAAACGTAATTTTAGTTCAATTTACGTTTTAAGGACCTTTGACATTTGGGGACAAAAGCAATACATATTAACCAGATATTTATCTATGCAGTACGAGTCGTTTTCGTACGCATATGTGCGCAGTGCAGGTCCGTTTAAGGCAAGTTCATGACCAGTGTTCCTTACGACACCTTCTAACTGGCCCTCGCCAGGAGTGGTTAGTAGCCTAATCAAGAGCTCAGAATGGACCTCATCCTTCGGTCGTTGCCACTTGCCGGTAGCCAACACTAGTTTCAGTGACAACTTGTGGCACGGTGGAATATGCATGTGCAGAGCCCTGTTGATGCTTTCGACAATAAAGAGAGCGGCCTGTAAAACCTTCCGGTCCGTTATGGACACTTCTGCAAGCTTCTGACTCTGGCAATACTTCGTGGGTACTTCAGCTGCGCTACAGTCCCTAGAGTTCGGCACTGGTAGGAATAAGCTTATTCCCCGCGGCAGATCCCTTCCCTGGGCCACAAGATCGAGACTGCGCTGCTCGACCCAATTATCTTTGATGGACGTCAAGTAGGCCAAGTCCAGGAGCGTGGCGTGAAGATCGTAGGCCGTGACCAGGCGGTGATTATTCACCCTTAGGTTGGAGATGAGGTAGAAGAGTAGGGCCAGCGGCAAATTCTCCTCCACCTTTCCCGTACCGTGTCGTAAAAAGAATCCTTATTTAGCCCGTCTACCACAGAAAAGTGAAGAACCGATGTCTTCGATGAGGTATCAGGCTTTCGAAATTGCTGCCTAATCGATTAAAGCCCTTCAGTTCGACGTGTGGCAGCGAGAAGAGAAAGTTGGCGGTCTGGGGCATACTCCGCGCAAAGTGCAGTTGGGGGACGGAGTCCAAGTCCAAAATCAACACCGACAAGCTCTCCGGAGTCCGGACTAGAAGCAGATCTCAACGGTGGCAGGCCCAGAAAGCTGCGTTGCATTTCATCTGGCGGGCGGACATAGAAGTGAACTCCATTATACCATAGATGCTCGTCCCGTTCAAGAAGCACTTGGCCCGGATGATGTCCGCAATCGGCTCAACTATAGTATATGCTATTCCCTCATCAGGCTGAATTCCTGACTGTACAAAGCCCGATTGTCGTAGTCGGAGTGCCGCTCCATGGGACTTGCACTTGAAGCTCCGAAAAGTCTCAGCCCAAAACTCAAGGCCTTATACGAGTTGCCTAAAACTTAACTGATCTAATAATGTTAAGGATTTTGAATTCATAAAACAAATACAGACAGATACAGACATGTGTCTGGTTTGGTATTTAAAACTTGGGTGATTAATACTCTACCATCATCGGGTAATAAGGGTTCAAAGACAATTTTACAAAACATTTTCTGTGCCATCGGCTATACATAGTAGGCACAGCTATACTAAGAACAGCCGATTAATTTCTGGGCCACTTTTCGTAATTATTTTATTCAAGCTGAGCTCCTTTTTAGCTGGGTTCCTTTTGAAAATAACAATAAACTAAAAGGTCCACTCGTGCATAAAGCATTCCCATCCGCGCTTAGAGCTCCAATTCTGGCCAGAATGAACCAAGAGCGGCAAAAGAGGCACGGGGCAGTGGCGTTAATTTATCACTTAACCTTCTTTAGCAGCCAAGTTTATAATTTCGATGGCAGACCCAAAGCGACGATGACGGCGAGGCAGCCAACTGCGGCACTTGAACGACGACTGCCCATCAGTGAAATGCCGGACCCGGGAACGGAATGGAATGTATAAGGGTGTCGAATAGAGAAAAGGGCGATAAAATCCGAAACACTGAGGATAACTGGTGGTATTAAGAATCAATTTTTATACCTAGTACTTGAGAAGTTGGAGGGTATAAAGGGTAAGGTGACGAGAAAAATGTATACAGTTATATATTTTTTCCATTTGAAAGCAAATACAAAAATGTCTCCTCAATTAGAAGTTATTTGTAAGAAATGCTTAATGATTTGTAATTAATTAAAAATTCGAAACACACAGTGAGGAGTACTTTTACTGAGCTATCGATCCCAACATTTAGCCTGTTTATAACCCGATTATAGCAGCTGAATACCGAGTTGGGAGTTTTAGAGCAATCAGCGGTATCGAGCCCCTAGTGAGATGCTTGTCTTTGGATAAGATCCTTATTTGTTTTGTCCAGTCGACAAGTCTCTCAAGAGAAACCGATGTACTTTATTTTCTTTAAGTGCATTGTCGCTGTAGCGCGAACTCGAATAAAATAAAATAACAAACGGCCGCCTGGCTGTATATACTTTTTTCCATTGTACATTTAGCCAACTGCTTCACCCTGATTTCCCCGTAAATTCCCTCCCAGCACGCCCATCGGGCGCCGTCGTATTTCTTTAGCTTACGCATCAGCCCCAAAGCCCCAAACTATGCTGTGGTGTTGTCCTTTTGTTGACGGTTTACGCTCCTTCCAAGCGCTCTTTGCAAAATGAAAATGCAAAAGGAATATTCATGAGGAGATTAGAATTATTTTTCGTGCTGCCATTTTCATTTTCCCTCCACCTTCTACGCATTTCGTCTCGCAATACCCTACACTCGGACTAATTTGAGTTTAGCGGGAAAATCTTTCCCTATGTAGAAGAAAACATTCTTAATCCGGATGATTGATCCTGCTGAGATAACCTTGTATAAATATACAGATAATTAATTATGAAAATGAAAATAATATATATATGTACATTTGGAATACACTTATCTTATCAAGAGTCGCCCGAAAGTAGGCAATGATTGGAGGAATGGGTACACCCTGGTCGGAACCCTTGATTTTACGGTTTCTTCCGTTTTCCGCTGAGAACGAGAAAAATATGATTTCTTTGTGCCAAAAGGGATTAAATTTACGCTCGTTTGTCCTGTTTATGATGAGTGCTGTTCGCTGTTTACTGTATAAAATTCAGCTGCTGTTGTATGTTTGCTATCTTGCATAAAAGTTTAATGACACAAACACCCAGGCAGTGACATGAATCACACGATGCAAGGCAGACACGGCTACAAAAAAGGAAAAGGACCCCCGAAAAAAAAAAAAGAAAGAAAAAGCAAACACCCGACCAACGTCGCCATCGCATTTGAAATATTTTGTGAATTTGTTATGAAAATGCGTAAAGGGATTTAATAAATAACTGTAACTGCTTCTCACTCACCCTGCTACTACTCCCCCAGCCGCCCCTTGCCGTTGCTCATTTGCCTTTTCCCGCCATTTTACCGTAATTCATAATGTTGTTTTTTTTTCCGGCGCTCTCCATCCAGACCGTTCTGCTTCCTTGTGCATCTGTGTGGGATGTTCTCGCTCCCGCTCTTGCTCTCTCTCCCCGCTTGTGGAATTATGTTTTATCCTGAATTATGGATTTTGTTTTGTTGTTTTCTGTCAAAATCATATTTTGTACACCACCCCCTGGCTAACAACTGCCATCCCACCCACTTCCATTTTTCCTCTGATAACCCAAGCTCGACTCATTTACATGCTTAAAATTTTGGTACGTCTGCACAGTGAAAAATATCCATCATTTTGCATTAATCTTCTCGTTTTAAATTAATAATAAAGTTCGGTTTTGTTGGTAGTAGTTCAGTTTCAATTAAATATGGAAATATTTAAGATAGGATATTTAAAATAATCGTGAGATGATATGAAATACGACCTCCATAAAGTTTGCTTCACAGTAGAGCTAAAGCCGAAGAGCGATTAAAACGATCTTAAGTGTGATATTTTAAAGATACATCACAGTTTATTGCAATTTAACAAAGTTTATTTGGTTTAAGAAATGTTTAAGGAATGATTCTACATCAGCTCACACAAGGATCTGTTGTTTTTACATTATTCGCAAATCAAAATAGATACATATAGAACATATCTGAACCATTTGGATACAGTTTTTCATCGTCACTGGTTTTGTATTCTTCACTTTTACAATGATTTAACAAGTTTTACTATACAAAGCCAATAAATATCTGTCAGACTAAAACAAAATTCCATTCTTTTATTTATATTTTTGTACAAATTATATTATAAAGTAGATACTTTCCGCTTGGCAGCAACTCCCATTTTAAAAACGAAATATGTAGCACTAATACTACTGTTTTCTAACCGTGTACCATTTTTAGGTTAGCTCGGTTTCAACTACAGCCTTCGCTTCGCCTTTAATGAGAATTTGTTTGTATCGACGGTCGGGTCGTGGGGGTGGTTGGCAAGGGGGTTCCTTCCCGCCTTGGTCGTTCCCTTTGGCTCGGCTGCTCAGTATAGTTGTAAATTTACAACAACAACAAGACGCCGGACCGAAAAAGTTTTTCAAATAATTTCTACTTAATGTTTAGAATTATTTTTAGCCGGAAATTAGAAATTATGAAGAATATATCACATAGGACAAAAGGGACACAGACCAAGAAAGCCATGAATGGAATGAATCATGCATCTCTGGCTTGTTACCATACACATAATTGTGCCAGCAAACTGAACAAAGTCGTAAATTGTACACTTAACCATTTATACTTATTTATGCTGTGTTTAGTTTTGCTTAATTTCCGTTTTAATAATTGCTATGGGTTGACATGGCCTACTGGGTTAAGTATATAATTTATTAATGCTAATGTAATGCTGTTAAGTTTTAGTTTGTTTCGATATTCCAATATTGTAAGTTTTAAATTGTTTTGAAATAGTTGGGATATTAGGGTGCAAGTGCAAAAGAAAGTATTTAAAAAGTAAGCTTACTATCGACAGTAGCTTTCCTACTTTAAGTTGAATTAGTTAGGATATTTTGAATTAATTTTCTTCTTTTTCTAATTTTAACCGAATACTAATTTTCTTTCAAAAGGTGATTCCTTAGTTCTTAAGTTATAAATAAAAAACTGCAAGAAAAAGAAATTCCTTTAATTAGATTAACTGATATCCAGGTATGCTTCGAGCTCTCGCAAACCTTTATTCGATTGTCAGTTTCGGGGGGCATAAACATAATATCAGGTGAGCCCTTGTGGGTGACAAATTAATGTGGAGCTCATTAACGCGCTGAGCGAGGATTACGGATGTGATTGAAGGTCCTCTGGGTATAAGTGCGCACACAGACGCGGCGAGGTTATGTACACAGATAAGGCGCACACAACGGCGCAGGCTGTGTTCACATACAGACACAGACACATTATCTCGCCCCCATTTCCAGTGCGCAACACCAACAACAAGCGAACGGGAATAGTCAGCGAAAAGTGTCATTATGTGTACATATAACGGATCCGACTCCACCTACAAGCCCCCCCTTCCCCTGGACGCTCTTCGAAATCCGGATCCGAAAGCCAACAAACGACAACGAAACGACGGCGCAAACAAGGAGAAAATGTGTACATAAAACAATCTCGTTATGTCGGCATTATCCTGAAGAATTCTGGTTCGTCCTCGTCACTCGCAGCGCCATAAATCACTCACACGCTTGGCACATTTCCACCCCTCCTTCCAGGCAGCTCTCTCTCGCTCTCTCTCTACCTCTCTCGGTCTCTGTCTGTTGCGGAACCGTTGCTTTCCTGGCGCTTTGTTTGCATTTGTGTTTGTGTTTGTGGGGCGCGTGTCCCGATCTCGTGTTGTCCTGCTCACATTAAAACATAGAGAAGCGCCTTGTTTTGGGGGGATTTTCTTTCTGTTTGCTTTTTCCCACTGACCGCGACCTTAAATACACTGAAAGTAAAGCGTTGGCTGAACAATTTATACGAATTTTCCGATTTTAAACTAAAGTTCTTATAATACAGAATATATTCTTTTAGCTGAATCATTATAAATTCCTCTTCTACATATGTATGTGTTCCAATTTTGTAAGGGTATATCCGCTCTCAACTTACTTTCCAAGTAAACAAATTTTTTTGCTGTTCTGCATTTTTTCTATGTTGGTTTGCCAGTAATTCACCCCGCGGTGACATTTTGGTGTGACAGACAAGACGTGTCCTTCGTCCTTTTTGCATTTTTCTCGGTTGGCTGTCTGTCTGTGTGTGTGTGTGTGTGGAAAGTTTATCGTTGTTATACCCTTGCCATAGGTTATTATATATTTTTTCCAGGGGTTTACAATGAAGTCTAAAATAGTCTTGATCAACAGCATTCCACCACATTTTAGAAAACCGATATTTACATATATAAAATATCACTTTTGAT